TACTTTACATAATTATAAGATACCAGTTCAGTACATGAAAAACTTTCAATTACTGAAATATTATTCTTAGCAATAATTAATCTATTCAATCTACAAGAGCTTGCATCATGCTGGAATGTTGACAGCCCACATGTATACTGTAACTTTTGCCCCTAAAGCTTTAAACACTTATGTCATTAAATTTATAAGGTAAAAAGTAGTAAATAACATCTCAATTAACTGTAATAAACAGTAGAACAGCATACTGGCCAACCAGTAAATACTGTACTACAAGTTTCAAGAAAAAACTAAATATATTGCCATTTACAAAAGTTTAATATTTCATCCTAAGGTGATCCACCATTAATGTTTTACAGCCACTTTCCACACTTGTGTGTACTGTACTGCCTGGGTGTGCAGGAATGTAACTGCAGTATTGATTTTTTATAGGTAGGTACTGTACTGTATAACAATGGAAGTGGGTTTTATAAAATTAATCTTTAGAATAATTTGTTTGAATTATGAGTCACCTTATTTGTTAGAGAGAAAGAATGTAACAGTTCCCATAAGACCAGGGTCCATTAAAAATTTTTTGTTATGGTTGACATCAAAATATTCCCCATGGGTAAATAAGAGTTAAGTGAGATAAGATTAGGTTGATACAGGTATGAAATGTACAATTGCAAGTTGAGGATAAATGTCAAGATGGCACACAAAGCATCAAGAATACAATGAACATATTAACATCCAAGGTGCTGGATTGTGTTTGTGGTAATTAGACCCACAGTACTATATGAGGCTTCATCAAAGGCCTCACTTTCCTGTTGTATGCAGTATAGTATCAACAAATGCTATATACAGCTCCTCCCCGACTTATGACCTGCCTCAGTCGTACCAAAATTTGGTAAAATTACGTATTTTTGAGTCCCACAGTCGGTACACAGACAAAATTTTCGTTTGTAATTCACTTTAAAATGGCTGGCAAGCTTAAAAGTGAGTGTTTTGTGGTGCTGAGAAGAAAAGGAGACACGCATTTTCGATTTTCTATGTATTATTTAAGCATTTCCAACTTACGACCTGGATTTGGGTCCCTAACCCCGTCGTAAGTCGAGGAGGAGCTGTGTATAGGGATGAACTGCTTTTTAGACACAGTATACCTGTACAGTACAGTAATACACCCACCACCTCTTCATTGTATTTTTACCTGTATTATTGGTTGTACTTTTGGTCACATAATACACTGTCAAAACTGAAAACCATCTACAATGTATATAAAGTACAGGGCGAGTATATAGTTTTCTAAGAACAAAACTAACATGTAAATGTTTTAGTTGCGGGGTTGGGGGAAAGGCAATCTTCTTTTTTTTTTTTAAGGAAGCATGTGATACTGTGCATTCTGCTGTATAATATGGTTTATCTGTATGCATTATATAACAGATAAATGTGACTTACATCACTCAATATAACTAATACTTATAGGAGGGACTGGAGAATCATGCCCAAAATTGGTTAAGTCTGTTCAAAAGGTATTACCCATCACACGTACTGTAACCTCCCACCCCCTATTTATCTGGTACGCTACACTACACAATTATAGTAAAAAAAAAAGTGTCTGGCAATATTCCTTTATATCCCCCCCTCCCATTTTCAAAAGATTGTAAGTACACTAAGTTGAACCAATCATCAACGATCTTCCAAATTTTCCTAGGGTGTGCATGACAGAAAAGTACCTAATATTTTAGGTGAAACATCCGTGAATATGGTACAAAATTGCAGACGGAATTAAGACAAGGCAGGAGTTAGATAGAACAAATGCACACCAAGGAAAGACGGGTTTTAAACCGACTCGCTAACCACAAAGATGACCTTTGATTACGTGCACATTAATCCCATTGTACTCTTGGTCACTATACCCTTTCCAAGCTAACCTGGCCAGTAAGGCACACCCCTCGTCTATAGCTACAAATAGCTGATTAGTTCCCCTGAGCATTTTATCTCCCCCTGGACTGCACGTGTATATATATATATATATATATATATATATATATATATATATATATATATATATATATATATATATATATATATATATATATATATATATATATATATATATATATATATATATATATATACACACATACATAACAGGTTTGCTTACCAATTGTGAACACATTTAGTATGAATTTTCTATGAACCAATCAGCTATTAGTATAGAAGAAAGGCGTGGCTTACGGGCCAGGTTAGCGTGGAAATACTATACGTAGTTGCCTCCAACCATTCCCACCTTTAATACTGTAATCACGTATTCACACCAATTGCCACCTCTTTCTGATCAGGAGTACAACATTTACTCATTCCCATGTGGTGCTCGTATATCATAGTTATCATTATGTACCTACAACATTATTGTGACATGCTAATGTAAACTTAACTACGTAATGTATTAATGGTATAGTCAAGCAATACGTGAAATCACACATGTTTTCGCAGTACATGTAGTAAATGGTCCCTTGCTATTTTGTTTGTGTCTGCATTTTTTCCATTTCTCCTATATCTATTATTTGTTCTAACTCTGACATATGAAACCTTTTTTTTAATCACCCTGTATATAAGTAATACTTTATACTCAAGACAAAAAGAGTTTTACTGGATGCATGTATCCTGGGGTATTCCCTCTACAGTACACTCAGCAATGAACACACAAGTATCTGTTGCGCTTTGTCAGAGGTGGAAGAACACTTTGGTGTACTAGCATCCTCCAAAGAGGGTGGAATAACCCATTAGCTACTGAAGGCTAAGAATCAGGGGACCAGTACCTGACTTACCACTGAACCACAGCAGAAGACTTGTTCATACAGTATGTATGTAGGTATGTATGTCAAGAGGATTGGATTACAAATGGGATTTGATGCAGGACTGATGCAGGATATTTTTCAAGTGTGATATAATGGCTAACCAGCTGTTGGCTTATTTTGTTTAAGGAAAAAAAAAGGATGCAAGCCATCTTAGTAAGTGCAATTAATTGTACCTAATAATAAACATGCCCTACATATTAAATCATACGGCCAAATTAAAGAGACCTTGGAATTTCAATTGCATACAAATTGAACAGATAAATTAATCTGTAGTAGTTTATTAGCAGATAATGTTTGGGGAAAATTTTTCAATAGGGTTTTGTAAGTATGAAGCAACACACTAGGCAAGTAAGTATGTTAAAAAATATAGTCTCATTCCTCACTAAAGTATAATGTACTTATGTTTGCAATCTACTGTATCAAAGTCTTCGAGGTACAGTTGAGTCACTACAGACTCAACCCGGTTTAGTTACTGCCCACTGTATCTCCAAGACCACAACCCATGTCTAGGTTCCTTCTGTAATAAATCAATTCATGTGATGGATTCTTTTCTTCTGACTTTCCACCGGCTTAGAGCACTGGAACAATCTGAATGGCCTAGTAGCGAGTCAAATTAAGATGGTGCAGTACCTCACCACCACACATACATACATGTAATATTCCAAGGCTTTTTAGATTTGATCAGTGATGCACTGCATGAAGCATTACTTCCAGTCTAAACTAAGCCTTTAATATAATTTCCTGAACTCACTCCTGGAGGTGATAATTACCAACAACATGAGAGATGAATAAGTCTTATTCACTCAAGACTCAATGAATAAAATTAACTGATACTCTTTTTTTTATGGGACCTGGTTTGTTATTATACATCAGTAGTACACATGTACTAGACTAACCTTACTCAGGCCAGTGGCGGGCTATTTTATTTCTCTGGTTGTACAAAGATGTTCAAAAATCTCTCTAGTTGCACCAAGTATGTCTTTTTCACTAAATACAATACAACCACAGAGAGGTTTCGTTACGATGAGAATAAATAAATAAGACATGAATATTCTAGCTGGTTGTATGAATGTGTTAGCAAAAACATCTACAAATGGCCTGTACACCTCCATCCCTGGGGGACCGGTGGTAGAAGCGGTACCGTTCTTGCCTCGCAAGCGAGATGTCACGGGTTCGAATCCCGGGTCGGTGGAAGTTGTTTGGACTTACTTCCTAGCCCCCATTAGTCCCTGTTCACCTAGCAGTAAAGTAGGTACCTGGTGTAAATCGAAAGTTGCGAATTCGTATTCAGGGAAAGTTGTTGGAGCTTCCAATAACTTGACATAAACCACTGACTCTTCAGGCTTCTACGCCCTTAACACATGAGACAAAGGCAAGCATAAACTTAGCATGCTTCCCTGTTGGACGCTGTAAACGCTTCTGCGCTTCACCTTACACAAGGATGTAGGGGGGTGCCCAATAAATAAATAATAAAAAAAAATAAAAATAAACCTCCATCCCTCCCTCATCCTAGCACACTGCTGCCTCCATCTATTGTCATTATCTAACACACAACTCTTATAATCTTTGGCGTCATCAATGTTAATTTTCAACCTCCCTGTGAATTAATGGGCACCAGAGATTTACTTTTATCCGAGAAAGCCTTCCCCGAGCAGCTGCTGAGAAAAGGACGTCCAAGCGTGTGTACAGTATATCCCTCCTCCCCACCTCTTTCTCTACTCCCTAGCCTAGCTGACACAATTCACGTTCTCCCCAGTCCTAAATCTATTATTCTTGCCAATACGTTCTAGGTTCTTTTCCTCTTGCAGTTCCTTGTGTGTTTGCAATTTTCTGGTGCCCTTTTTTAATAATAAATAATACTGATATACAGTATATTGTAAGGTATTTTTTTTATTTGCTTCCACCAATGTGTGATGGGTCAAGGAAAACAGATGCCTCAAGGGAGGAAATGATTCCTACTTTTTCCCACATTAACCTCGTCAAGGCTCACTAAAATGTTGACTCAACTCGCAGTACTGTACTCGTTATATCTACTGATATAATGCATTTCAACTATGAATATGAGAAAAAAATATCATAAAAAAAGGAAAATCGCAGGTATAAAAAAGCATACTAAAACCACCTAAATAAGAAGGCATGCCCAAGAGGTCATAACCCTTTACAGAATTACGGAAAACCCTCATTACTGGACTGAACTCGTCCGAGACCATTTGGTTACATCAACCGCCAATTTCAGAAGGAAATAACTTTTTTTAAGATATACCAAAAGGTTTATATCATATTACATTTTTCCTCACAAAATTACCCAGCAACACGCACTCCCCTATCGCAAAATTTAATAAGTAAACACAAGGTGTAGGAAACATCACTTACAATTTGGTCAGCCAGGCGTGACACACACACACATCACCCGGGGAAACGATGACTGGCATCCTTAATTCTCTGGATCTATAAATCTCATTTAATTATTTCAAGTCCCACTCGTTAAAGATAATTATAACTCAGATTCATAAATCAAAGACATACATACTACGATAAATTACAGAAACTTTATTTTTTTTTCAAATGAACATTAGTTTCAAACAAAAGACGATTTGGCAACATCAGACTATAATAGTTGAGTCAAGCCAGGTGACGTCGGCCAGCTTAATAGATATTCAGTTTTCTTCATAGCTTCACCAAAGGATAGTAGTATGCCTAAAGTTAAAAGCACAATCTATCATTTGCTTATTATTTTAATGTTTTATGTATCGCATAATCCACACTTAGATTTACAACCTGTTTCTACTGTGCAGGTTTAATCTAAACGCAATGTAATACTTGTAATATTTATCAACACATTTCCCCTTTTATTCTTGTAGTTTTATTATAAGATATTAACAACCTAGTCTAAGCAAAGGATGATACTGGAAACAGCACCTGGTGGCTTCGTTGACTAGCCATGATTAAATTGATTGCTGTTTACCATTGTATACTAGCACTTAAATGGTTTTAAACATGTCGATGCTGAACTTGTTATAAACTTGTATGGCGATTTTACTGTATAAATATCTAATTTAAAGAGGATTTCCTGATGACGTCAACCAAACAGTACATTTATAGTGTCTTAATACAATCCACCACTACCATGCACCTCTGACGGAGCGACGAGGGACAAATTAGCAGTACTGTAGATCTTACGACACACTTCCAAGGAAACACCAAAAACTCTGAACTAGTGGTAAGTTGGAATATCAGACCCACCGGCAGAAGCATCGAGACACATGCAATACTGACCTGGGCGACGCTGGGCGGCGTGGTGCGTCGTGCCTGGTGTGTGGGCGGAGAACTGCGCCTCCACGTCCACCTCCTCCTCCTCAACATTTCCTCCGCTGCCCCAATACTCGCTCACCAGACCCGTCACCCGCATCCTACAACACCAGACACCGTGTTATATATTCACCTAATCTCGTCTTACACTTACAGGATCTTCTACTTACCTATATAACAGGAGAGTCATTTTAAGACTTCAACAGCAGCACACAAAAAAAACACACAAATGAACAACACTTAAGGTTCCTGCTTAAGAACATGATTCAAATGAAACAAATCTATATACTGTATATTGTAATACAATATGTTACGTCATTGTGGTAACTTCATGAAAACAATTTTGCATTTTTAATATATCACTGACTGGTGGTGACAGTACAAGAGATAATAAATTAATATAATGTCATGCGATGAACATAAAGCCTCTACAGTAGTCAACATGAAACTCTTACGAGGTTAGCTAAGGAAGCATATCAATAAACAATTAATATATATTTTGCTACATACAGTATATTCCCAGTTAGGGGTAAATTCCACCATAAGATGAATATTTACAGCATTGGGATTTGACTTGACCATTTGTACATGTCACGAGGGACAGAAAAGCCACAAAGCCTGATAAATCCCAAGCCTGTATCCATCACACGAATCTTTGTAAATTAGGTCCCGGGATTTATTTGCCTTAAAACTGTCTTGTAAGAAGCTGCATGAGACTAAAGATCGGTGCTTAAATAAACCCTGGTATACCGTAAAACAAAGATACATCCACAGTGATGAATATGTATCAGTGGTGTGAAGTGTGTATCTTGGACGAAATTTTCCCGCGCCTTTGTTTTTATAACGGACGCAGATAAAACCATGATAATTCATTCTCTACTTATAATACTGAAGCAAGGTGGTTATTTTCTATGGATATACTGTACGTGAAGACTTTCAAGTTTCTATTGACATACCACATTCGGATTATAATGAATTTCTTCCGAACAAATATTTTACTCTTACAAAAACAAACATTATGTTGTGTAGTGAGACACCTACATAATGTACATTACAGGTCTTGGCACCATGTACTCAGCTGGCGTGAGCGAGGAAAGCTGTAAATTTTCGCCGACAGAGCAAACGAACAGAATAAAACTGAGAAACAAGTCACACAACTCCTAAAAATTCAGACTTTGTCCTCAATCTTCAACTTATTCTCGTTGAGTTTGGCAAGGTAAAGGGGCGTGATTAGGGAGGTGAAAAAGAGTTGGGCCAGTTGACGGTTTAATAAACTGAAGCGCTTTCTAGTCTGCTCCTCTGGCGGCTGGCTGGAGGTGGTGGTGCCCGTGTGTCTAACATATGGTGTTAAGTTTAAAAAAACAAAAACATTTTATACTTCAAAATAAATTAATAATATTTTTTTACTCCAGTGAAAAATATTACACTCGTGTGCAATCTATAAACCCGGTACAGTACGCGATAAAAACATGTCCAGACCTGAAGAACACTTATGTACTGTTTTTGGGGAGGAGCCCACGATTGAACAACACCCTTCTCACATCTGATCCAAGCAGAAAACGAACCCGGATCACAATGACGAAAGGTAAGCACGCTAGCTGTGCAATACCAACGTCCCTCATTTTTTAACGCCAGCAGTAACAGAGTGCGATGTTTACAATCAGTCTGTCTAAAGATGTACATAAAAAACCCAAAAAACAATGCAAACTGATAAAATGTTCAAGAGCACCAGGACAAAACTTGCTTAAGCTATTAAAAGAAGGACTTAGCAAACTTTACACTCCGTAACACAAAAAGTTCCACCTAAATGCATCCGCAGTCCTCGACCTGTGAACTTTTGACCCCAAATTAATAAGCTTGCGTGAATCCAAAGGTTTGCCAAGGTACCACATGTACAGCAAATGTGGTCACCAAAATCACAATAAGACGGACATAGTGATACAGTATACATTTATACGCTCCAGAAAGGTAATAACGGTAAGTGACTTAACATTAACTCCCTGGACTTGCCTAACCTTTCTCGCCCCTTAATTACAAGAGCCGACCAATAGGTAAAGTCAGAAGACAACAAGGTTCTCTGCACGTGCCTCGGGACACAAAACATAACTACTAGTCATGCTGGTGCTTGTGTGTTATGCATGTGTTCGTGTGCCATTCAAGTGCTTGCACATGATGCAGAGGTTTGTGTATCATGCAAGTGCCTGTATCATGCAGGTAGTCATGCATAATGCAGGTAATTGTGTTATGTAGAAGTCTGTATATCATGCCGGTGCTTGTGTATCATGCTAATGCTTATGTCATACAAACGCTTGTACCATGTTGCGGTTTGTGTCATGAATTCTATAACGAGTATGTGCTCGTAAATGTAGTATGATTTTTGTGACTCCTAAGCACACATGGCCGTCCTTCATGAATCTACAGGTGTGTGTGTGTAAAACTTAACTATGTCACGAAAGCAAATTTCTGGCAGTAAAGTGTTTATGACCGTGGGGAACAGTGGTGGTGTCGGAAATATGCCTGAATTGCGTACTCCGGCCACACTCACAACCGAGGAACATTTATGGCGTTGTCCAAAGCTCCGTGATGTGTGTTTTATTTTGCACCAGATTAAAAAAAAAATTATTCTGATGTCAACAGCTCAAACTTTAGATAAAGGTAGTACCTACACAGGGTTTTCTAGATATCAACAGAAACAATAACACTGTTGCCTTGCATATCCGTGTGACATGTGTGTACGATTTTGTTCTTGTCTATCACTGAAAAACACAGATAAGACACGTACGAGTTTGTCAGTGCTATTGTGTTATGATGTAAAGGAGATATATACAGTAATGTACACGTGTTGGAGAGTAATTCGTGCATTGTGGTGTATGTACGGTTGTTTAGTAGGCTATCAAAGTATGTCACGATGAGGCTACAACCCCACCCCCCCCCCCTAGTCCGGACATGTGTAAGTCAGGACAATACCCTACACTACTACTTGCTTCCCTCAACTATGCAGATTATTACCAAAAGGCACCGTACGGCACATAATACAACCACAAGACAACGCACGGTATCATGAAGCAATATTAGTTGTTATTTGTAACCAGACCAATGGAATCCTCGCCTTGCCGTCACGAGGTATGCGGTATAGAGACTGGCTGGTTGAGTGCACATACCGACTCAACGCTAGCAGGTCTTGACTTCGTATTTTTTGTCATAATTTATGTTACGGATTGACGTATCGTTTGTGTGTGAGTGTCAAAATACGTGATTACACGTATATAGTATATGTGATTGCTGTTATATTACAGTATATATACTGCACCTGTTGCTTGTATACGCGACAGCTGCAGTTACAGTACAAGTGTGACTTCTAAAATTGTACGGATTTTACAGTAAGTTTACTTATGACTGTGCTGTTGGTATACACGTCATGTTATTTGTATGCACTTTACTCTTATAAGTGTATTCGTGGCTATGCTGTAGGCTCACATGGTAATTGTGCTGTTAGTATACAAGTAATACTGCAGTAGGTGTACACACGAGTGTATATGTAATGGTTTATGTGAGCGTACCATCGGTACACACATAGTGTGCAGTAAATGTACACGTGATAGGGCAATATTGTACAAGTGTTGGTTCACCCCTGAGTGCACCACAGGAACACATGTAATGGAAATGTAGGAATACATGTGACTGTAACTCAGGTATACACGCTGATGTGTGCGAGCTACGGTAATGCTGTACAGTACTACACATGTTCTTTTGGTGAACAAGTAAGTAAACTTGAGGTGTGCACGTACTTGTCCTGGAGCGCATTTACAGTATATCTTGAGTGGATGTTGGCATGTACTGCTTTATGTAATACGTGATAATGACACAATTCTACCAGTTTTGTTAACATATTAAACTTAAACCAAAAAGTAAACACACACAAAGATATGCCATTTCATTATTTTTTTACAACTTCCTGTCAGTCGATCAACATAACAGGAAGGCGACACATGCAACCTGAAAGAAATAAGCCACTATTTTGTGTCATTCAAAATGTCGTATATGACGTTTAAACAAGAAATGAGTCACAGTTATTAAGCTAAGTCACGCCCACACACCAAACTGAGATAAAATGTCTCCTCACTGCGCATTGTGGACGTACTTAAACAGCTTACGTAAGAAGGTGGTCGGGTCTCCAAACACGTTGTCCTTCAATAAAAGACTAGACAAACACCGGGCAGATCAATATGCCATGCTAGTTCACCTACAGTGGTTATTGTTTTTGTTTTGTTGTAAAGTCACTAGCCCGCCCACTGTAACATGGACTCGTGTCATAGAATCAGAAAACGATCTGGACGCGAATAGAATCTTCGTCTTGAGCACCCCAGACACCCTTCACCACTCGGCACACCGAATCAAAGAGAAATCGACCAAACATCCGTCTTCCATGTACCGAACAGCACCAACAAACTACATCTTGGATTCCGTAAGCCTCAGTGTACTTTTAAAAGACGGCACCAGTTTACAATTAAAATACAAATTACTCTATTTATCATAGGTGCAGTACCGATATGCTCGTTTAAATCTAAAAACAAAGCAGCTTATTTAAATAAAAAACAAACAAATATGGAGCTAATCTAACATGACCCCTAATAGTTGTAACAGAAACAAAACATATGCAGGTAGTCTCATGTAACCCCCAACAGCAGTAGCACACACAAAAAAACGCGTCAACAACCTGGGGAGAGCCCACCACCTGTAATCATTACGGGTCGGTCCGCTTCCCCCAGCTGGCCGGGGCGGGGATCACACCCACAGTTTATTCCGTTACTATGACGACCAGCCCGCCTCTCTCCGTCGTTCAGATCTTCATTTGTTTCTTTATCTTCAGGACACTTCCTTTACCATATCTTATAATCGAGTTATATTATCAGCACGGACGCCATTTAAATGTTTCTAGAATACAAAAATATTCGGTGAGTCCGTCCAACATGATGCGACAGACCAATTGATGCCTGGAAGAAATGTTGACTTTTATGATCATTCACAAATATTGATACTCTGTTAGTAAATACAAGGCGGCTTTCCCCTTGCACACTTCAGACCCCCCCCGACTAGTTATTCTTGGCTGTCACTACATACCTGCTTAACAAGAGTAATACAATCTAATAAAATACGAAAGAATAAAAAACTTTTAACTGCCGCCATACTCTCAACAAACTGTAAAAGCTACAGACAGCCTCGTAGCACTGAACACTCCAGAGGAAACACATTCCGGGTGAGCCTGGGTACCGTACGGATGGCTCAGTGAACGACCCTGCTCGCCTTGGCAGCATCCTCAGCAGACGTTCAAGGTAAGAATGGATACAGCAGATTGCCTTACGAGTGTATATGAAGATAACACTAGTACTGATAATAATCTGCACTTATCAGACGCTATTAGCCTAACGATTTCAAGGAATTATCACGAGCAAAATTCACTTTAGCTGATGAGTTCATCGACAATCAGTTATAGCAGAATTCCCCTTCGTAATAAATAAAGCAGAGTTCCACATTGTTTCGATACATATAAACTTCACCCTAATTATACGTCTGGTTATTTCTGCGGGAATTCGAAATGTTCTCAGAGTGTTCTAGGTCTCTAGGACCTAGAATCTAGGTTACCTATGAGAGCTCACCAACGTTTCTTGAGGAACAGTAGATGCACAAAATATATGCTTGGCAGCTAAAGGGATATTTTCAACGGTTTGCCCTCATCTTAAATCTTATTATGTTCTTATGCATAAATAACTCAAATGAGTCTTAATTGATGTTTGTCATATAATTTGTTCCAGGTGTCTGTCGCTAAGAGGTGTGATGTGATGGTGACAAAGACGAAATCTATTATTACAAGACGAATAACAGGTCGTATTTATGGTTAATGGGAAGGCATATATACTGAAGTAAGGGGCGCCCCAAAAGACCTTCACGAAGGTACTGACCCCCCCCCCCCTTCTTCAACCCTCGACACACAGAGTGGGTGCCAAGTACCGAGGGCGGCAGCTGGGCACGGACGCACACCGGGCAGGTTTGGCATGCATCTCTTAAATTAAAGCGTGCGTGGGCACGCGCGCGAGCGCGCACACACACACACACGAAAACCGCAGCAAACGTTATCAGAATGTTTGGATTGCGGAAAATATCTTTACGATGACAACGGGATGACAGGCAGAGTTGTTTCATATCATTTCCTTACCAATAACTTTACATAAACAACTTTAATGTACAGTTTCAACCGAGTTCTAAACCACGCATCCATTTGTACATACCACATATACCAATTTTTCGATACATTAATAGATAACTTGTTAACTGTAGTCTTCCCGAGAGTAATTTGTTTTACAGTTAACGCCACTGTTCACTATTTAGGCTACACTAGACGCAACACTTTGTATTCGTTAACGATGGTCGAAGATGAGGCCAGGAAACTGGTGATCTTACATTTAACATTATTGATAACGTAGGAATAACGGAACCCATGTTGGGAACTTTCCCACGTATGAATGTCAATGATATCTAGTTATCTATTCAGCTCTTCTAAAACTCTCCTGACGTTAGTTCTATCTACATTGGCTATTACCTACAATGGACAGTTAATAATTTCTCATAGTTAATATTACTGTACTGGTAATCTCAAAACTTCGTCTTTTGACTTTCATCGAAGGTTTTACATTACTGATAATCTCCTTTGTTATGCCATCAGGTGTTGAGAGCAGGTAAGGGTAATAGTGACCTCTTACATTTACTGCAGTTTGCTATTGTTAACACCTAGCGACGCGACCTCCTTCAGTTAGTTATCAGTGGCTGCCACCCACTGTACAGTAAATGTTGAAGTGAACTCTTACCTTTAACGCAACTCAAGTTATCTTTTTTAATGACGCACTTTAGATTAACGCTCATAGTATCCTAACGCACAAACAGGTTGTCACTGAGTACACGATGAATGATGAACACTCAACTTGAATCACAACACGAGGCAGAGACAGTCATTATTTGGAAGAAAATGTAACATAATTCAAACATTAGAAGCCACAAAACTATCACGGTGTAAATGTTAACGGTACTGTCAGTCGCTCTACACGTCACTTATTCTCACTAAGGACAAGACAGACACGATTCTCTCACAAACCCAAACTCCGGAGATTTTAGAATTAAGGATCCAGTCTTAAAACTCCTTTGCTGAATCCACCTCAATGCACAATGTGCTATACACATTAAACTCTTTTATTTACCTCTACGAAATGGAAGCTTCAGCGAATAAACAAAAGCTACTCCTAAACTCTCTGAATTTAGCCGAAATATATCACTGAACACTGCCAAACTCAAGTATAAAGTGAACAGAGTTTTCGTTCCGGCTAAAACAATAATTCAGTGATGGTTTATTTTCATCCTCACGATATGCCACCATCTTAGTACAGTACTCTCCCTACCCAAACTCGGTACTTAGCAGTCTAATAAACACCCGACTACCCTTAGATCTGGCAGTGCGAGGGTTAATAAATATTTTAAATCAGTTTAAAGAACTGTTTATGATAATTACATAAGAAAGTTTAAAGTCCAATTTACCGTTACGATTAATAAGCGACGCTGACGAGATCTACAGTTGCCAGCAAAAGTTCTCCCACAGCCCTGTGTAGCAAGTTGTGGGAGGACTTTTGCTGGCAACTGTACATACCTCATTTAACCAAAAGCACTAATAGAGATGTAAAATTCAGACATGCCTGACAAAAATATTAAGTGGAGGACCATACGGATAAATAGTGACCTTCAACGTTTAAAAGCCAGGCCAGGCCCTTTACGTAACTTAAAAAACGGGTCCTCGCCACACTTGGAATGGATGAGCTGACGTCAGGACTTTCTAACATGCACACGTGTCAATGAACATACTTGAACGATTCGTAATTGAGATATGTCATGGGCACTTCATTGAGTAAATTTCACTTTACTTGGTAATCTTCACATGAAAAGTTTACTTCATTAAGATAATCCATTTTACTTTTCGCATAACTTCCTGGAGTAAGTCTTTGAAAAGTATAATATTATATATGGCTCTATGCTTACGAGATAATTCATCTGATTATTCTTTTACACTAGGCGAGTTATCATTGCAGTTATTTATATTTGTTCATTCATTTACCCAATTTGCTATTGATCCATTGACTATTTAAGACAGTTCTATATCAGTTCTGTATTCAAAATAAAAAGCCGTACAGCAATAAATAGTTTCAGTGTACAAAACAAAATAATAAACAAGCACATAAACGCGGTGCCAAAGAGAACAATGTATTCCCGTAGAGTTTGTGGTGGGTGGGTGAGAGACCACCTTACCTGCCTCCACCTGTGGTTACCGCCGTGCTCCACTTACAACCAGCAATCAGGTGGAACTTTCAACTCCTATGTGTTCTCCAGCTAGTTATCGCCAGGGAGATTTCTTATACACAATGCAAGTTGCAATTAGAGTAGCTAATCGACGGCACTAGTTCACAATAGATACTGTAAGAGTAATAGTTTCTTCATTAGCATAGTCTGACAGGAAATAATGAGCCTACCTGGTGGTGGGGCCTTGAGGTGCCCGGGGTGGAACTTTACCGGAGCTTAATCTTTCTTGCATTCAACAGACTGTCTTGAATCCGCTGCCACTGAACAGTATCTCTCATACGGCATTTCAAAACTAAGGTACTGTAGCGAACCAAAACAATCTCGAGTTTAGAAGTCTTTTATCTTCCATGAAACCATGAAACGAACTCATTCAGTTGATGTAGCAAATAGTCTTTAACTTGCACAACTGTTCTCCTGTTAATTAACCAAGGCTTAACTACAACACTTCAAGTTTTTGTGCAAGTCTAGGTTGCTGCTGCCCACTTGTCTAGTCCAATATCACAGGTTTAGCAATTCAAATGGTCCCGCTTACTAGGTAATGTTGGCCACACAAAATGACACTTTCTTTGAGCACTGGTAAAAATAATTAAACTTACACTTCTCTTTTACGCACTCAACTATAATCAGAGGTCTAAAGTGAGAGGCTGTAAACGTAATATGAACGAGGAGTCAAAAGCGTTTTGAAAGTAAATAAAAACGAAGTCGGAAGTTGAGGTAACAATTGTTGTCTATTGCTTCACGCCTCTCTGCCTCCCTCCCACTGTCCTCTCCTGCACAGCTTCACATGGCAAGCGTTGACACTTCTGTCCTTGATAGCACCCCGGCCGGCAACCAAGTCCATTCACCAACTTTAAATGGTTTTCTGTTACGTATATTCTTTAGAACACGGTTGCTGTTGCAAGAACGGCTACAAGCAGAAGATATTTTGCGGTCAGACCTGGTTTTGCACTTTTTTTGTTTTGTATATATTTTTTTCACTTAAGCTTGAGCCTTCAGTATCCTCTTAGTACGATGCATCTTACTGCACACGCTATCTTGATATTTTCCAATGGTTTCTAGCATGAAGCCTGCCTCTTGACGAGCTGCAGCACCGCTTGTGATCCATACAACGACGAAGAGCGGTCTGAGCGGAGGAGCGGCACTTCCTCACACTCCCGCGGCCACCGCCATACTGCCAGTCAACTGAGCTCAAGAGCTGCCGCTCCGCAGTCCACACCAGCCCCGCTCACCCTGCCTGACGGGCGTAGTAGCGACAGGTTTTGGAACCTACCTACCACTACCGCCTCCCTCCACCACAGCACCAATCACCACCGCTGGCGTTTCACTCCTATTACACTGTGTATGTATAATAAATAAAATCTTTAATAGACTTAAGTGATGACGCAGCAAATGAGAACAATGGAGGTGGTTGTGTTACCCCGTGCCTGGGAGCTAACTCACCTGCACTGTTTGTTTTGAATGGGCGTCTGACCAGCTTACTGGGCGTGTCATAAAGTTTTAGGCTGAATCAACATGAGAGAATGCACAGAATTTAACCAGTCACGAAGTTTCTTTTACAGGGAATATAAATATAATCGACTCCCTTTAGATACACGATGAAATTCGTCGTTATTTTTATTCCCCAGCATAAGTGATATGTAGTGTGACACCTGTCCAGGCGCCCCAAAAAGCTTGTTAACGTAACTGGCCCTGCAGCTGTAATTGGATTAACTTAAAACCTGGACAACAGTTAACTACGCGTACTGATATTCTTTGTGTTACGGAACGATGGACGTGAAGGTCACAACTGAAGGTCAAAGCCAATTTTGTTTCCATGCTATAACGTTTCTGTTTTTAGCTTAAAATGAGAAAAACTAAAACAAAAGACAAACAACGTCAAAGAGGAACTTAACCATACTATACCTCAGAGGTCAAAACAAAGTACGAATCTAAACTTGTGTCGGTCGAGATATTTCTATTAAAGTATAATATGAATGTGTCACCACCACCAGAGCAGGCAACTAATTACCCAGCCTTCACTCACGGGGCTACATTTGTCACCACTAGGCAATTGATAACTGTATTCAAGTCTGTCAAAAGGTCAGTGTCACGGGCGAGTCCAGACGTTGACGGATGTGGCACTTGCAGGGGTAAACATACAAACGAGACTTCGCCAGTACAGTATATGTATAATCACAGGGAAAAATTAAGAACTCTAATTCAAATATCTGTCAAAAGTTAAATTCATTTGAGGGAGATAATCAGGAGATTTTTTAGATATTATGAATTTACTTAACTTAATTGTACAGACATCATTAAATAAGATTAAAACAAATTGTATTCTCCTCAACCCAGAACAAAGGCACATGAATGATAAAACTTTGTCAGAATTTTTTTTGCATTGATATGTTTATTTTAACGGATCTTCACACGTGTACCATCACAACATGTTATATCAAAGGTTAATTAAAAGATCCAGTTGTTGGTCACGAGTCAGTTCCTTGTCAAGAACTTTGGTAACTTTGTGTTCCTATGCAGTAGATAATTGGATCAGGATTCAGATGGGAAAATATCATCAGTAGATAACGAACGGATCACTAATTCCAGTTTGCTGTTTCTAGTGTTGTCTGAATATCTTTCCGTTTACATCCCTTTATTACCTATTTATCTAAGGTCTCTTTCTCTTGTCATCCTTGTATCTCATTGTTTCTTCCTCTCACTCTCCTTCTATCCCGTTCTCTTTTCTCCGGAGGTAATCCCCCCCTCCGTCACTGGGTCAACTTGAGGCTAGGCGTGTGACTAGAAATTCCAGGCGTGAGTTAAAGCCACTTGATCAGAACTCCGGCAGGTCTCATGACTCTTTGAGAACTTGCTGCCGTGTTCAGGTGACATACACTCATGAATGGTGTTTGTCACGTGAAAAGTGGAACTACAAGTGTGGCTTTTTGTCACGTGAAGAGTGGAACATGGACGAAAATTTACCAATATACTGTGAACGATGTACCAAGAAAATTATTTTAAAATGTTCTATTATAAGGTAGTTCTTCATTAACACTTTATTTACTTATCCGCAAATAAATGTTTACAAGTAGTTATTCTAGAAATAGGTGTAAAAAGTTAGAAATCATTAGAATCTATTTAGGTATACAGCATGTTATGTCTTTATTTGTATAGTAGCCCCTGAGATCCCATACAAAAAAACATAGGCGAACGGCTAATATGCTTTTCATTCGCGAGAGCCGTTCGCTTCTCACACATCTGTAAACAACGTAACGCCGCCAGAATCAAACTATAAATGAACTATGGTGTGTGGCCACGCAGTCATAACCCTGGAGGTAACATAGCCACGTGATTACCAGCTAATACCTGAGCCTTGGCCAGCGAGGCCAAGCAGGACAAAAACACTGTTGCCAGATCTGTTTCTTAAGGGGGGTTTTAAACATCAAATTACTCACACCAGCGTCCTCACTGTAACTGCATATTTTACACATATACTGAAATTATATGACAGTATTTTTATTTTGGCCTTGAGTGAGAAGATAAGTAGTAACAATAAACACAGGAATTAGATTAATACTGTAGTAGTAATCGTAGAAAATTTGCATAAACAAGATGGGTCCGTCAGACTACCAAAGTGTTTTATAGACAGGCATCAACAGCTTATAAATCTATCATGAATGATTTATCCTAATATCAGAAATATAGTAACCAGTTTATATCAGAGGAAACACTAACTAAAACACACTCTATTACACATGCTGCCTCCTTATGCTGGAATGAACCAATGTTCCTCTCCTTCCGAGTGTAAACTTGTATATTAATGATTGAGATAATGCTCAGTGGTTCTTTTCTGTGAAATTCGGGAAAATTATGGTGATTATTTATTATAATTCAACACAGAGGGACGCGAGAAGACAAAGGCAGTGTCGTACGTGCTCGACCAACGTTAAGTGATCTTAGTCCGAAAGATAAACCTCTCACTGATAATGTTCAAATGGAAGTTAGTGCCGTTGTTCATATGAAAATTTAACACATAAATTGTAAGTAAGTTCAAAGTTTTAATTCGTTTTTTCAAAGTTCTGGCACCTGTTTCTGGAGTAAGAAAGTGTCTTGAAGTTATCAGAGAAAAAGTAATGACAACTCTGCTTAATCAACTGTGAACATACCATTCCTTCATTTCAACAACAATTGAATATTTAAAGCTCAACATACACTATTCAATACTGACAATTCACCATTGAGAAACGACTAACAGACAACTAATTAAAAGCAAGTTGTCTGAGAAAAGAATAAATAAAGAGGAGAATTATTGGAACCTGCCAAATTTATCGTATCAAACCCGGAGACTTGTAAACAAATAACCATGATAGCTTCGTCTTATCAATGGTTAGCTCGTTACATAATATTACCGACCTACTATTGAACAGCCTCCTTACATAACACTATAGCCTCCACGTTATCTAGAGTTTAAGGTGTTGATATTATGATGTATTAATGCGTAACAACTTATGGTCTTTTAGGCGTGTATTATAGGATAGTAAACACCTGTCTATAGTAATCGATAATTAGTAGTTAGGAGGGATACATTACAGTACACCTCTCATTAAATGTAAGAAGGAAGGAGGTAGCAGGTAAGGAGGAAGGAGGTAGCAGGTAAGGAGGAGGGAGGTAGCAGGTAAGGAGGAGGGAGGTAGCAGGTAAGGAGGAGGGAAGTAGCAGTTAAGGAGGAGGGAGGTAGCAGGTAAGGAGGAGGGAGGTAGCAGGTAAGGAGGGAGGTAGCAGGTAAGGAGGAGGGAGGTAGCAGGTGGGAGGGAGGGAAGTAGCAGGTGAGGAGGAGGGAAGTAGCAGGCGAGGAGGAGGAAGTAGCAGGCGAGGGAGGAGGGAAGGTGCAGGTGAGGAGGAGGGGAGGTAGCAGGTGAGGAGGAGGAGGTAGCAGGTGGAGGAGGGAGGTAGCAGGTGGAGGAGGAGCAGGTGAGGAGGTGGAGTGAGGGAGGAGGGAAGTAGCAGGCGAGGAGGAGGAGAGGAGGAGGAGGGAAGTAGCAAGCGAGGAGGAGGAGGGAGGTAGCAGGTGAGGAGGAGGGAGGGAGGTAGCAGGTGAGGAGGAGGGAGGAGCAGGTGAGGAGGAGGGAGGTAGCAGGTGAGGAGGAGGGAGGTAGCAGGTGAGGAGGAGGGAGGTAGCAGGTGAGGAGGAGGGAAGTAGCAGGTGAGGAGGAGGGAAGTAGCAGGTAAGGAGGAGGGAAGTAGCAAGCGAGGAGGAGGGAGGTAGCAGGTGAGAAAGAAAGAAGAGACGAGTGTCAGGAGGAGGAGCTGTAGTAGTGATAATAGTAACAATTGTGGTAACAGTAGTAGTAGTAGTAGCAGAGATTAGTAATACTAATAGCTATAGGGGCAATAGTAGTAGAAGGAGGTGTATGCCAGCTGGATGAACTAGGGAAAATCCTCAGATGACAGACTATAATTATATTCATCCCTGAGTTAGTTAAGTTATGGTGTTTCCTTCCCTTCCCTCCGTCTTCCCTGCCCCATTTCCTTCCTTCATTCCTGTAACAAGAATAATGCAGAATGTATAGCTACCTTCACCTGAAAATCCACCAATCACACACACTATTGCGCCTGTTGCGATACACACCTGGAACACACCTGTCTCAGATTTACCTGTGAAGACTCCTATTTCTCTCTTGTTTACTCAACAAAGGTAAAAATATTTCCACTTTCCTTATTACAGATTTTTCAGACACTATTTTATGCAGTAGTATGTTGTAAAATGAAATATCCCTTTAACTGGATTAGTTTTTGAGTAATCGAGAACTCAAATTGTATGACGCAGTCGCCAATTAAGTTGTAGTATAACTCCTGGAGCAAAATATTTAGATTCGAATAGCTAATGGAGGTCATTAAAGCGGTTAATACCCGAAATTCAACTGTTCTTGTCCACATAACTAAAAAGAGAGGAAGATGATCCCTAACTCTACGTAAGTGTTTTTGATCATGGTAATTAATGACTGGTTAATATGTAAATCATTCAAATGTCATTGTCTGGTCTAATTAAACCAAAAAACTTATCGATATTGAAGAAAAACTATTTTTTCCCAATTTTTGGGGTGACTACAGTATAACTTTTCGCTCTCGTGCGCCAAGATAATCTGACTGTGAATCGTCGTCTCTCATTGGTTATCGAATTAGCCAATGAGATGTCGTTCTGTCAATGGAATACCTATT